GTTTCAATCAAAAACATCACCAACTTAGTTCAACTCTATTATATACAAGTATAATTCGACTCTGCCATATAATAAGTCTAAGTTATTCGTCATGTTAGTTTAACTCAATTATGTGCAAGTATAATTTAACTCTGTCATATAATAAGTCTAAGTTATTCGTCATGTTAGTTTAACTCAATTATGTGCAAGTATAATTTAACTCTGTCATATAATAAGTCTAAGTTATTCGTCATGTTAGTTTAACTCAATTATGTGCAAGTATAATTTAACTCTGTCATATAATAAGTCTAAGTTATTCGTCATGTTAGTTTAACTCAATTATGTGCAAGTATAATTTAACTCTGTCATATAATAAGTCTAAGTTATTCGTCATGTTAGTTTAACTCAATTATGTGCAAGTATAATTTAACTCTGTCATATAATAAGTCTAAGTTATTCGTCATGTTAGTTTAACTCAATTATGTGCAAGTATAATTTAACTCTGTCATATAATAAGTCTAAGTTATTCGTCATGTTAGTTTAACTCAATTATGTGCAAGTATAATTTAACTCTGTCATATAATAAGTCTAAGTTATTCGTCATGTTAGTTTAACTCAATTATGTGCAAGTATAATTTAACTCTGTCATATAATAAGTCTAAGTTATTCGTCATGTTAGTTTAACTCAATTATGTGCAAGTATAATTTAACTCTGTCATATAATAAGTCTAAGTTATTCGTCATGTTAGTTTAACTCAATTATGTGCAAGTATAATTTAACTCTGTCATATAATAAGTCTAAGTTATTCGTCATGTTAGTTTAACTCAATTATGTGCAAGTATAATTTAACTCTGTCATATAATAAGTCTAAGTTATTCGTCATGTTAGTTTAACTCAATTATGTGCAAGTATAATTTAACTCTGTCATATAATAAGTCTAAGTTATTCGTCATGTTAGTTTAACTCAATTATGTGCAAGTATAATTTAACTCTGTCATATAATAAGTCTAAGTTATTCGTCATGTTAGTTTAACTCAATTATGTGCAAGTATAATTTAACTCTGTCATATAATAAGTCTAAGTTATTCGTCATGTTAGTTTAACTCAATTATGTGCAAGTATAATTTAACTCTGTCATATAATAAGTCTAAGTTATTCGTCATGTTAGTTTAACTCAATTATGTGCAAGTATAATTTAACTCTGCCATATAATAAGTCTAAGTTATTCGTCATGTTTCAATCAAAAACATCACCAAAGAACTGGTCAGTCCTATGACACAAATTTCAAATTCTAAAAAAAAAAAATCAGGCTAAAAATTTTATTACTACCTCGGCTAAGAAAATTTCGAAAAACAAAAAAGTCTAATGACAGAAAAACTTTAAGTTGCAAGCGTTTCAGGGTCTTGGCAACTCTTTACCTTTACTGTCCTCAAGCCGATATGCCCCATTGTCAATGACCGAAATGATTCTATAAGGCCCCTCCTAATTTGGGCCCACCTTTCCCTCCCTAGGATCCTTCTTGTTGCCGACCACTTTCCTTAGCACTAGGTCCCCAACTTTGAATTCTCCTGGGTTGACCTTTTTATTATAAGCCCTAGCAAGTTGTTGCTAGTATGCCCCCAGTCGAATTACTGCTTTCTCCTTTTTCTCCTCAAGTAGGTCTAGATCTCGGGCCAAGAATGCCTCGTTAGTTCTATTCTCTACTCCTTGGGTTTTGATCCCTGGGATGCCGACTTCCAGTGGGATAACTGCTTCTGTGCCATAAGCCATGGCAAATGGGGATTCCCCAGTTGATCTTCTCAGTGTAGTCCGATATGCCCAAAGTACATTGGACAACTCTTTCACCCATTTTCCCTTTGCTGCTTCCATCCTCTTCTTAATCCCATCCAAAATAGTCTTGTTGGATGCTTCTGTATGACCATTACTCTAAGGGAAACTTGGAGTGGTGTAATAATTCTTGATTTTATACTTTGTACAGAAGCTTTTGATTAGCTTACTGTCAAACTGTATACCATTGTCTGCTATTATTGCCCTTGGGATCCTAAACCTGGTAATGATGTTCTTCCATATGAAATTCTTCACATCAGTGTCCCAAATCTTCGCAAGGCGTTCAACTTCTACCCACTTTGTGAAATAGTCAGTTACTACCAGTAGGAACTTTATTTGTCCAGTTTCTTAGGGTAGTTGTCCAACAAGATCCATGTCCCACTAGGCAAATGGCCAAGGACTGGACACTGGGTTCAAATCTGCTACTGGTTGATGTATCAAAGGCGCGAACCTTTGACACTTCTCATACTTTCTGACATAAGCTTCAGCATCCTTCTGTATGTAGGACCACCAATACCCTTAAGTAATGGCCCTATGAGCAAGTGATCTGCCCCCAGTGTGGCTTCCACATACTTCTTCATGTATTTCATACAAGAAGTCTTCAACTTGTGAGGGATGCACACATCTCAAAAGAGGACCAATAAAAAAACTTTTTGTAGAGATGTCCTTCTGCTGTCAGACTAAACCTAGCCGACTTTAGTCTAGTCTTATGTCCTTCTTTGCGATCATCTGGCAGCTTCCCATCTCTAAGGAATACTACTATTATATCCATCTAACTTGGACCCATCTCCACACACATTGCTTTGTACTATGTGATCAGTGGTTCCACACTTGTGCCTGACAAATAGTCAACCATTATTGTCCTTGCCTTCCCTAATTTCATTGCACTAGCCAGGTTAGCCAAGGCATTGACATGGCTATTGTCATCTTGGCTAACTTGTTGTAGTCGACAGTCTTGAAATAAAGCTAGCAGTCTAACAACCTCTTTAACATAGGCTATCATTCTTTCATCTCGGGCCGCATACTCGTATGTTTCCTGGTTCACAATGAGCTGAGAGTCATAGAATACTACCACCTCATCGGCTTCCATTACTGCTGCAAACTTCAATCCTGCGATCAGTGCTTTATATTTTGCTTCATTGTTTGCAGCTTTAAACCCCAGACGTATAGATTGCTCTAACATTCGCCCATCTGGAGATACCAACACCACTCCTGCCCCCACTCCCTAACTGTTTGAACTCCCATCAACAAACAGGCGGAAAGAGTCGCCGATGTAGATATCACAGGGTTTGAGTTTTTCTTCTTTCTTCTGATTTGTTGTGGGGTTTTTCATTTCCAGCCGGGTCTCTTCTTGTTCCCCTGGACATCTTAAGCAACGACTCACTAGAGCCTAACGTGGGATGGCACCTGGTGTGAACTCAGCCACGAAGTCAGCCAAAACCTAGCCTTTGATTGTTATTATGGGTTTAAACTCTAAATCATATTGGCCTAATACCACTGCCCATTTGGCCACCCCGCCAGTTAGATATTCTTGCTGTAGCAGGAACTTCAAGGGGTGCTTAGTCAATACCACAATCTTGTGGGCTTGGAAATAATGGTTCAACTTCTTGGAGGCCATAATTAAGGCCAATGTCAATTGCTCCAAGGGTAAATACCTGGTTTCTGCACCTGTTAGAGTTCTACTCACATAGTATACTGCCCTTTGTTCTCCCTTCTCTTCTCTAATTATCACTGCACTCACTGCATGCTTTGAAACCGCCAAGTACAAGAATAACTCCTCTCTAGGTATTGGATTTCAGAGAACTGGAGCTGTGGTCAGGTATCTTTTCAAGTCGGCCAAGACGGCTTCACATTCTTCTGTCCACAAGAAATCTATGTCTATTTTCAACAGACTGAAAAATGGTTTACACTTATCTGAATTTCTGCTTATAAATCTGTTCAAGGCTGCGGCCTTTCCAATCAACATCTGTGCTTATTTTGCCGATGTTGGGCTTTTCAAATCCAAGAAGGCCTTGATTTGATTTGGGCTTGCCTCAATGCCCCTTCTGGTAACCAAGTATCCAAAGAACTTACCAGACCCAACTCCAAATGCACATTTTGAAGCATTGAGCCAGAGCCGATATGTTCTAAGGATGTCAAAAACTGTCTTCAAGTTAGCTAGATGATCGTCAGGTTCTTTGGTCTTTACGACCTTGTCATCAATGTATACTTCCACTATTTTGCCAATTAGATGTCTGAACATCTTGGTCACCAATCTTTGATAAGTTGCTCTTGTATTTTTCAATCCAAAAGGCATCACTCTGCAGCAATACAGCCCTTTTGGGGTGATAAATGCAATCTTCTTCTCGTCAGGAGGGTACATGGCTATCTGATGGTACCCTTTGTAAGCATCCAGGAAGCTCATCCTTCCGTGTCTTGAAGTGGCATCCACTAATTGATCGATCTTGGGGAGTAGGAAGCTGTCTTTGGGACAACCCTTATTCAGGCTGGTAAAGTCCACACAGACCCTCCACTTCCCATTTTTCTTTTTCACAACAACTGTGTTTGACAACCAAGTTGGGTAGTTTACCTCTCGAATGGCTCTAGCCTCCAACAATCTATCCGCTTACTCTTCAACTGCCTCAATATGCAGTAACATCGGTCTCCTCGCTCGTTAGATGACAGATTTAGCTGACCTATCAATGTTAAACATATGGCATGTGATCTCGGGATCAATGCCAAGCATCTCGTATGGCGTCCAGGCAAACACCTCTATGTTAGCTCGCAAGAATGCTTCCAACTCCCTTTCTTCCTCCTTGGCTAAACCTGAACCGAGAAGAAAGAAGCGCTCTTCATCATCTTGTTGGACCAGAACTTTTTTCAAGGCTTCTTCGCTTTTGTAAGTCGATTCCTTGCCAACATCTTCCAAGACCTCCATGTCCTCGTCCTCAATTTCTACTGTTTCTGCCTCTCGTATGTTGCAGGTGAATTTCATTACTTCTATGAAGCAATTCTTTGCTTGTACTTGATCCCCCTAACCTCCTCAATTCCATGCTCTGTTGGAAACCGTAACAGTTGGTGCACCATTGAGGGAACAACCCTCATTACGTGCAACCATGGCCTCCCCAAGATAACATTATAAAGGGAGCGGGTGTCAGTTACTATGAACTCTGTACTTACCTTCTTGGAGCCTGTCTGCACCTCCAGACTTATTGCTCCTAGAGGCCATGTCGGTGTTTCATTGAACCAGACCATTGGACTATTGGAGTGCTCCAGATGATCTTGGTGAAGGCCGAGCTCCTTGTAACATTTGACATAAATGATGTCACAAGAGCTGCCTTGGTCAATCAGAATGCTCCTTACCTGACATTCTCCAATCTTGAGAGATATCACCAGAGCATCGTTGTGTGGATGCTGCACCATGTCTAGGTCAGCTTTAGTAAATGACACTATTCGTCCCTGGTACTCGTCTACCCTAGGCCTTTTTTTCTAGACCTGATACACATGCTATAAGTGCTTTACCCTCTGAGTCTCCCTACGTACCTCGTTCTCATTGACCTTCGAGTGAATCGCGTTAATCACTCGAGGTCCGTCCACTTGCAGTTGTAGTGCTGGTGGAGGTAGTGTTGCTGGTGCCTGGGGCAGCCTTGCTTGCTCTTCCCTTGTTCTGGCCTTATATACTACGTCCCTTGAATGACCTTGTCTTGCCAGATCTTCTAAATGTGCTTTTAGGGCTCTACAACCCTGTGTTAGGTGTCCGTCTTCGTTGTGGTAAGCACAGTGCTTTCTCAGGCTTCTTCCCATGAATTCGCTAGGAACCTTTTTCTAGTGCTCTATAATACGGCTGGTTTCTAATTCTTTCCAAAACTTTGTAAACCGAAATCCGGAATACAGTGGTGACTGCCTATGCGGCCCTCTGTCTTGTCTCTTACCTATTATATCCAGTATTACCTCGACCTCGCTTCGGCAAGCCGTTTCTCTTCTCCTATTTCGACGTCTTTGTCCTTGGCGTGTCTTCTTCAGCTCTCGCATATTTCTCGATCCTGGCCATGAGTTCCTCCATACTTTTTGGCAGCGTCTTTGTAAGTGACTTTCGAAGCAAGCAATCATCGTTTAGGCCGTTCTTAAAAGATATGACCGCCAACTCTTGGTTGCACCCTGGTATTCGGTTAAAAACCTCATATTACCTTTTGGCATAAGCTCTGAGGCTTTCATCTTCGCCGATTCTTAGAGCCATCAGGGAGTCTACTCTTAACGACTACAGTTTATTTGTAACAAACCTGGCCACAAACATCTCGGCCAGGCCTTCCCAACTTTTCATAGTTCCTTTTGGAAACTTGTGAAACCAATCTGATGCGATTTCTCCAAAGGATGAAGGGAACACCTTGCAAAGCAATGGTTCGTTCCCAGTATATAGTGTCATTGAGTTCAAATATAAACTGACGTGAAAGTTTGGATCGGATTTGCCATCGTATATCTGGAATCTCAGCATGTGGAACCTTTTTGGGGCCTCAAACTTATCCAGCTCTATTGAGAACGGCATTCTCGGCTTGACTGGAGATGTGACCTCGGCATCTTGTCGCTTCCTCTGGAGGTAGTCCCTCAAGTCCTCCTTAGTCCGTCCAGGAGCTCGGATGTTAACGGATTTCAGCCTTTTTAGTGCACTACTCCCTATGTCGTTATGAGTCCTTTTGGACCTCCCTCCATTCATTGTGTCAAAACAAAGCTCCTTCCCCTGAACATGTCGATGTTCTTTGGCATAAGTTTCCTTGGCACGAGGTGTCTTCTAAGACTCTCCTCTCATCGATTCTCCTTGCCCGACGTCCCGTGAAGGCCGATGAGAATGCTCCTTTGCCCTGTCATGCTAAATGACCACAGGGATTGCTTTTTGCCCTCCTTTCTGGGCATCGTTCTTGGCCATTGGAATCAGCGTATCCTCCAATGGGAACGGTGGCTGCATGACGTTGTTCTGCATCATGAAATTGACAACCAATTGCAAGTCTATTAATTTGTTTGCCATCCCCTTCATCTTGTCGCCTCTCCTCAAGAATCTATCTTTCCATACCTGGAAGTCGTTTTCGTTGTAATACTCGCCTCGGTCTGCCTTCTTTGGAACGTCTTCTTCTTGGGCGATGTCCTTTTCCTTGGGATTCTGCTCCCGGGGTTCTTCGTTACAAGTCTCTTCTCCTACATTAGGATCATTAGGATCGACGTGTTTGCCACTCTCACTAGGGATGTCGTCTCCAATCTTCTCTTTCTGCTCGTCGTTGGCCATCTATTCTCCTTACGTTCCCACAGACGACGCCAAATTGTTGGTGTTGATTTTCGATCACACTGCCAACCAAGAACTCAGCAGGAGAGCACAGGCAGAATAGATCACACCCGAACAACCTGTCACAGAAAAATAAGAATACTGGCGGTGGTTCGTCCACCGGAGGGCACTCCGACGATCAATCTCTCAAAAATAGCAAATAGTACTTCACTCACTAGCTAGAATACCAAAAGCATACCTTTAGACCTACGAGGGTACCTCAACCTGATCCCTGTAGAAGCTTAACTTCAATGGACTTTGGCTCAATACTCATCTTGGACTCCCAGTCAGATAGAGATAAACTCCCTAAAATCTTTTATCTTTATCCATGCTAAGGTCCTCCCAAGTTCTAGGACTCTTGTTCCTTATCCGTTCATCCGAATTCCGGTATCTCCGCGGATAATCTCGACCTAGTCGAGATCACCTCGGAGCCATGATCAAGACACGTGGCATATCGGCGGACATTTCGGCGTCACCTTGACCACGTATCGTTATTCACAAAATATGTTTCCACAAATAGTATTCTTCACAAATCTAAAATTCAAATGCAAGCCAACTACTATTACATTTCAAAGCCATATTTTTAAAGAAAAAATTTTATTGTTACAATAACAGATTTTAAATTTATGTAGAGACAAAAATTACTTTTAAAACTTTTTTTCCTATTTTTCTCAAAAAAAAAAGTAAAATAAATAAAAATCCTGTTGTCATATAAAAGAACGGCGCTGCTTGAGGGCCCGAATTTCGGGGCTCGAATGCCCCGAAATTTCCACTTTAGGTAAAAAAAAAAAAAAAAAAAAAGAAAAAAGAAAGAAAAAAAGAAAACAGTTTCTAAAAATGGAAATTAGGGGCATTAGGGGCAAATTTTTTAGGGCCACCAATCATTTTCCATAAAAGAATTAATATGATAATCTGCATTATTTCCTCTCAACAAAGTATGGATATTGTTGGATTTTATTTTTTTCTTTCTAGTAATGCTACATTTGTCACCTTTTTTTATTATTTTTTTTATTTTTGTTCTTTTAATTTTTTATAACAATAAGTCTATAAGCAGATAATCCAATTTGAGAATCAGACACAAAAAATAAATGATGGATGATATTTTTTAAAAATGAACTCTACCAACAAATCTTATAAGATCTTATGTATTAATGTGTCTTCTGTTTGATTCTATATTTGGTTTTTGTGCTATTAACATGTTTGTTTGAGCCATGTTGAGTCAGCTCGAAGAATGAGCCCCTCATAGTCTTGGACTTTAAGTTGGGCTTTGTTTTAAGCCCAGAAACGTTAACCCAAAAGAACAAGCGGACCTTTTTCACCAAGCATTGGCCCAAGCATCATGGGCTGAGCTTGATCCATGCTGTCTTGAAGGAGCATTGGTTTTTCTCCAAAATAACAGTTTTTTAAGGATTGCAATGCCAGAGTTTTTTGAAATAATTTTTTGTTCTCAAAGTTTTAAAAACAGAAAGCAAAAATGAAAATTTGTTTGGTTTGTTGTAATCAAAAACCATTTTGAAAAAATTAGTTTAAAATAAAATAAACTGGGTTAAAATAAAACTGGGTTCTTGAAATTATCATAATTTTTAAAAAGCATGTGTTATGATAATAGCTTTATGAAAACTATGCATCATCATTAACAAAGAACCTCAAGACCTGTTTGGCTGCGGCTTTTCTAGTCATTTTTCTTTGGCTGTTTTAGCCAAAAAAGACTTAGGCCTTTCGAGTTGACAATTGAGAAAAAAATAATTTGTCTAACAAGATTTATCTCTATCTAACAATTGCTAAAAAAAGTGAAAAAAAAAAAAAACTTTATTTATTTATTTATTTGCTAAATGTATCAATTTTTTTAACAATTTTATTCCAAAAAAGTAAAATCATAAAAAAGTTGCTAAAAAAAATAATTGTCAAACCCAACATAAGTAAGAGTTCAAGTCTTGCATAGGCAATGTGCACATAAATCTCTATTAATTAGAAATTATCTATATCATTTGTAAACCAAAACGCATTGTCATAATTTTCATTTAAATTAATGAAAAGTGCGTTACTCGTGCCTATATTTTGGCAAGAAAAATTTTAACTTTTTTTAGACTAATGGTTTGGCATTCTTTAAAAAAGTTAAAAAGTCATTATTCTATTTAAATCGCATTATCTTATTTAAGTCACATCACCTTTCTATCACATCACTTCAAACCCAACATATATTTCATAAAAAGTAAAAAAGTGCACTTATTTAGAACATTCCAAACAAAATTCACAAAAAGATAAAATAGGTTAAAATAACTAATATGACAAAATGTCACATCAAATCCATAATTATTTCATTTTTTCTCTCACAAACATCACATCTAACTATAAAAAAATCTAATCATTTTCCTAAACAAAAAAAAATTAACCTACTAAAATAGCCAATAATTAAAATAGCTTACTAAAATAGTAACTTCCCACACACCCACATAGTGGTTACCATAAGAAGTAAAGTAAAAGCTTAGTTTAAAAGACATGAATAACATGATCCCTGATAAGATTAGGTTTATCTGATGTTGAAATCTCAATATGAGAGAATTTGAGTGGCTTGTAGGGTCAATCATGGGTTCCGTTTCAATGATTCGAACCATTCATTTTGTAAAGTCTTTAATGTATATTATCTATGAAAAAAATTAATTCGATTCAATAATCATAGCTTTTTCATTTTTGAAATAGACCATCCATTTTTTAAAATATAAATACAATAAAATGAAAATATTACGATTATCGAATTGTCCTAAATTTTTTCATGAATATTATGTATTGATAGCTTTACAAAATGAATGGTTCAAATTATCGAAGCAAGACTTGTAATGAATCATATGAACCCCTTAAGTTTTTTCATATTGAGATCCTAATATAATAGAAACCCAACTAAAGTAAAGCTTAGTTCAAAAGACATGAAGAAGATGATGATATTTAAGTCAATTTAGAAGTGTCATTAGTGATGTTAGGGTTCAGTGGTAATTTTCAAAGAGGATTGTTGTATATTGCTAAAATAGTTCATCTTGGCTTTTTACGTCTGATGTGGTTTCCTATATAGTGCGGTGAATCTCACTATTTACCAAATAATATGCGTTTTACATATACATATGACTTTTTTATTATATAAATACACTTAAGATGTGAAATAAACACAAAAATAAAAGTGATGATAAATAGTATTTCTCATTTTCAGATGACAAGAAGATTATGCCCGATACAACCTATAGAGGAAGAAAAATGAAATTTGTCCCAAAATAATATAGAATAGACCTTTTAGCAAATATATAAAGGTGATAAAGAAAAATATAAAGTTTACTGGATTAGTTTAAGATGAAAGTCTAATTTGAACTGATAAATCACTCATGCCTAAGATAATATATGACTTGAGAACAAAATTTTTAATTGAAAGGATGATGCCCCATCCCTCCTCTCTCAAACAAAAGGAAGGAGAAAAAAATTGTTTCAATTCAACTAAAAGAACCAC